CAGATGTACATGATATACAACCGATAACAGCAAACAATGCATTGACATTGTCTTCATTTTTTTCGCGTTACGCGTACAGACGAGAGCACATCACACAGTCTCCGATACGCATCAAAGACACAGTGACGCCAGATTGAATATTTTGATCCACACCATACTGTTTGAACCGAAAACTCCATTCGGTCTTAGCGTACGCAATTCCATACAAATACCGGACAATCACATTGAATATGTCGAAAATGCACTACGCGCGAAATTACCATCTGTTCAAATTTTTCCGTCGAGATTTTTTTCTTCAACAGCGCATTTATACACGTGGTCAACGGTGACGCATACACCGCGAGACGCGGAAAACCTAACCACAGCGAAAAATACGTTAGAATCTCTTAAAAGTCGCATAAAATCATGTGTGCAATTAAAAAAACCAATCCAAGTAGATCGAGTTTTACCTCGTCCGATACGACCGCAGCCGCCTTCAGGCAATGAGCAAAATTGAAAAGAGAATTCAACATAAGCATGCGGGAACAAACAAATTCTTTCTCTCTCACTCCAGGTCCCTCTCGTGCTATTTGTTTTCCGCCGCCACCGCCACCGCCGCCTCCTGCAAACAATAATGTTGCTGATACACAAGTACAAACGACGCACAACGACAGCAGCGTTGTAATTATTGAGACGGTATCAAAAAAGAAACTCACGCCGAGAAAACCAAAAGTCATAGCAACAAAACATAAAAAACATTGTGCTACTGCTAAAACAAACAATCAGAATAATCAATTCATTGCCAGACGTTTTGCCTATGACCGCGACACGACTTTAATCAGATACGCGCTAAATCTCCAACCAAACAAAATAACGTTTCCTCAAACGTACGAACATCTCGTAGAAACAAACCAACGTTTGTACTAAGTTTACAAGCCGATCGATCTTGTAAAACGTTTGCAAAACTTGGCGTTTAAAGACATTAAGTATCCGCCAAAAGCATATTACGAGCATACAAAAGAGCTCGAAATTATAAAACAAAAAATTGACGAATACGAGATGTCGCTCATATTGTCTCAAATTTTTGGACATTTTGATTAATGCGAATTAAAACAAATCCAAACTATATGTAGACGATACATATATAACACAACTTAATAGTAACATCTCCTAACAATACTAACATTTATTACTAACATAATACACTACTATATTGTTGCAAATAACACACTAATCACTTTTATATTTTTAACCACATTTACTAACACATTTTACTAACCACACTTCATTATATACTTATATAAATAAACAACCACAAAAATACAAAAAAACATTAAAACACAAAAACCTATTCAGAAAAACAAAAAAACAAAAAACCCAACAAAAAAACAAAAAAACCAACAAAAAAACAAAAAAACGATTGTTAAAAACGCGCGCTTGTTCGCGCACGTTTCCGACCCCACCTCCTCGTTGGTAAAAGTCGAGCAATGGTGACATGTTTTCAGCGTTAATAGCAAACGGGGCTTTGGATTATTACTACTGTTTTTACACTATCAATATTTAATTCACATTATTCTAGTTAATATTATTTTACTTTATTTTTTAAATTTATATTGCTTTATCTTAGTGGAGGGCTTTGCCCCTTTGGGACCCCCTTTATGGGGGTCTTGCCCCCAAACCCTCAAGCGGAGGCTTCGCCCCCTGCACTCCCTTTTTTGGGGGCTTTGCCCCCAAACCCCCAATCGGGGGCTCCGCCTCCAAACTCCAGCGGGGGCTTTGCCCCCGCAACCTACTTTCTTCTAGGACTACGCGCTGCAGATTTCAAAATTTTTCTAAGTTTGTTGAATAAAAAAATTAGAAATTGTAAAGAAGACGGGCTCCAAATATTTTAAAATATAATAATGTAAATATGGCAGTTGGAGCAATGACACGGACGTAGATGTGTAAATATATTAAGTTGACAAGTGTCTGTGTATATGTGTGATGTTTATTGAGATGACATATATAAACGTTTTGACCCTAGTTTTGGGTCTTTATAAATATTCTAAAAATATGTGCAAAACATTGATCAAAAAAGATACAAAAAATAATTATAAATTATGAATTATGATATACATAAAACTTAAAAAATGTGTGTGATGTTTTAGAATAAGAAAAATGTCGAACAAGATCGTAGTAGAATCGACAGGACATCTCACTCACAGTAACATGATGACTAAAGTGAGGATCGCACGAACGCGATAACAGAAAGCGCTGGGATGATGAAATTTAAATTAAACGGATATAATTTATTTGGGCAAGACAGGTTGGTTATCGATGAATGGTAAATAAGATTTGTCTAAATTTTCTGTATCGCTGTGTAGATTGAGACCATGATGTTAATTTTTAATGTGTAAAGTTTCTGATATTAACCGTTTGTAATACGATCTTTCGTGGTCCATTAGTTTTACACTATCCCAGTCAAAATCATAAGTGAGATTAA